TTTGAAACTGTCTCATTGCTATTTGTTTCTCAATAAAATTATGGAAAAAAAACTGAAAAAACAAAAGGTGATTTTTTTTTCCTTCTGTATTTTAGGGAAGGATCTACAGGGTGTTCAGGGTCTCACTACTACATCAGACTTGTAGTGATCTGCCTGTTTACAGCCTCCCAAGTGCTGGGATTACAGGTGCACACCACCACGCCCAGTCTCAATTGCCGTCTCAGTGTGCCCTGGGGCCAGGGACAGCATGGCAGGACTGGGGATTGAACCCTGGCCCCTGCACCTGTGTGCAGGCACTTTAATCCACTGAGCTATTTGGCTGGCCCCTAAAGGTGATTTTACACGGTATTTTTACTGTACCTATATTATGATAACAATCAGTCACATGAGGTCTGTATGTAACTCTCCTCTTGGGGCATCCAGTTGGAGCTCAAAACTTTCACTTGGAGCATGTTATTTTCTGGATTTTTAAATTAATGATGCTCAACCTATTCTGTATTTCCTTATCTGCTCTAACTAGAGAGCTAAAATGATGTCTTGATTTAAATTTCACTTCCATTGGCTAAGAGCTTGGATATTTTTCTATTGATAATTTTTATTACTTACAGCTTGTTCTACTAATTTTCCTGAAGCTAATTCTTCTTGCAGTTTCTGGGCTTTCAATGTTCGTTTTGCCTAAAAAAAAAAATATAAATAAAATAAATTAAATTTTACCTTTAAATAGACATTCTACTTTCATAAATTTAAAGTGAGTACTGTATTGTTTCCAGCAAAGCTCACTGCACAGGTCACCTCTGACTTCCTGCAGGCCTAGGCGTAGGCGCTAAGGAGGAGCAGCTAAGGAATGGCTGGCCGGGCCACATGGCATCAGTGCTGAGCTTCAAGGAGCATGCGGAGGCCAGGGATGGCAAAGGACTGGTTGATTCTTGTCACACCGGCAGGCCCAGGGCTACCACGTATTTCAATGTCCAAAAAAAGATGAAATCTAAATTTTTAAGTGAAATTTCATGATCTTTAAATATAATGACTAATTTTTAAAAAGGCAGTGTTGCCAATGGCTATAAGGAGAGGGACAAGTGGAGTCACAACAATAAAACAGGTTGAATTAAAATAAAATTCAATTTTCTGAAACAAGTTATTTATTCCCCTTCTACCATTCCAATTACATAAGACAACTATAACAAAGATGATGGGCAAGCTACTGCCTGGGCCCAAGAGTTCAGAACCTCAAACAGCTAAAAGCTTTGAATCTTAGAACAGACAGGAGAACAGATGTCCTCATGCTTTCAATAGCTTCTGCTCTATAAGCTTGGGTAAAGGGCAATAAAATAATTAAACACAAGGAAGCTGTGGCCAAACAGGGACACCACATGGTTAATGTCACTATGAAATCAGGCCTACTGCTAAGAAGTAACATCACCTGGATGGCACTTCAAGGCCTAAAAAACAGGGTGGCTAAATTAGAAATACTGCCAAGCGTACACTCTCCAAGGGCTGTAGATGGCCAGGAAATCGCGCTCACCAGGTCCACTTTGGCATACTCCTCCACAATTTTCATGTGTTCCTCTGGATTGTAGCCATTCCACCGATCTCTCTTCCCATCATAGTCAAACTCCAACTGAGGCTGGACGTGTTCATCTGGAGCTATGTTAGTGCCTGTAAATTTGGCTCCAACTCGCCTAGGTCTCTGGAAAACAGAAGATTAAATATTTTTGTAAATATCTGTAGCTCAGAAGGAAATTTCACACAGCTTCTACAGAGCAAATGTGAACATACCATGGGATTTTTATTGTGTGATTAATTACCAGATAACTTTCCAACAGAAAATTTTGATAATGTGGACCAACTTCACTTGTATTTTTACTTAATTGGTACTAAAATATAAATCGCTTCAGAAAAAGTTCTCTGACAAGAAAGACTCTGACAAGAGTTTCCCAAATTCTCAAGAGGTGGGGGTCAGCCAAATAGCTCAGCGGATTAAAGCGCTGGCAAGCACGTGTGTGTGCATGTGTGTGTGTGTGTGTGTGCGCGTGTGTGTGTGTTTCCATCCCTGGGCAAGCAGGTGGTGTTGCGTTTCCATCCCGGGTGTATGTGTGTGTGTGTATGTGTGTATTCCTGGGCCTGCTATGCCGGATCTGCCCCCAGGCCATGCGCCTGTAATCCCAGCTCTTGGGAGGCTGTCAACAGGCAGATCACTACGAATAGATCTAGTACTTGGACCCTGAACACCCTGTAGAGCCTTCTCTAAAATACAGTAGAGGGGAACTAACCTCAAAGCAGTCCTTCTTCTTGTGTGTCATGGCCCCGCAATTTTCACACGCTCCCTTGCGGTACTTGGTTGTTACAGAATTCTATGAATTGATAAAAAGAAGAGAGCAATGTTTTATCTGAAGAAGTTAACAAATTACTTGGTTCCCATCGTGTCTTGTCTGATAAAGTGATTTATTAAGAAAAATCAGGCCCTGCATGACATTACATGCCCATAATTTCAACAAACTGTGAGACTGAGGCAGAAGAATTGTGAGTTTGAGCCTGGACTCAGCATTAGTGACTTAGCAAGACCCTCTAAAAAAAAAAATAAAAGGACTAAGGATGGAAATCAGTGTGAAGGTTCTGGGTTCATCCCTACTACTAGCCAAAACAAATAAGCAAACACCAAAAACAGTAATTTCTGCCTGAGTGCGATCCTATATTTCCGTAACCCCAGCACTAGGAGGCTGAGGGAGGAGGATCGCAAGCCCAGCCTGGGCAGCTTAGTGAGACCCTATCTCAAAATAAAAAATGAAATAAGAAAGTTCTAGGGATGTAGTGCCGTGTGAAGGCCCTGGCTTCAATACCCAGTACTGAGTGGAGGGATGCGGTTTCTACACCTTTAAGTGAGGAGGTTTATGATTTTTAGCAATGTAAAATTTCTGTAAGAAATTTTTAGTTGGGGCAGGATCTCATTTTATAGTGAGATGTCTACACACTGTTTCTACTTCACAAAGCATTATATTAAAGGTACTTTTTGTTTGTTTGGGGTTTTTTTTGAAACAAAGTCTTGCTATGTATTCCAGAGTGGACTTGAACTCACTATGTAGGCCAGGCTGACCTCCAACCCATGGTGGTTCTTCTGTCTGAGTCTCTCCAGTGCTGGAGTTATAGGTTTGTACCTCCACACATGGCCTAAAGATACTTTTATATTGAGTTCTTAAAATAATATCTCTTCTATATATATAGGTCACCCATGTACCTCTTTGACACCTCTCTTATACCATTCACCAGATGAGCTGAACTGCTTCTGCTTTTCTGGCTGTGGTCTCTGATGCTTTAAGGTAGGTCTTTTGGATGGATCAATATACCATGGCACTGAAGAAATATACTGAGGAATATGAGGATTGATGTCTCTGTAATAAAATTAAAAAAAAATTTAATAAAGTTTGAAAATATTTCAGTTACAAAGGCATCCTACACAAAGTCTTAAGAACAGAAATACAACAGTTGGGCTGAGGAGACAGCTTGCTCGTCTAAGCACCTGCCTAGAAATACAACAGCAAGAGAAGCAAAGAACATGATTGCTATCTCCACCATAAAGAGCAACTGAAAATGAAGAAAGCAACTGTATTAACTGAAACATTTCTAATCAAGATATTAAAAATAGTATAACTGAAAGGAAGAGAAGGTTGTTATGTGCTAGTGAGCTAAATCAATCAGAGCAAAAAGCTGAAGATAGTGTCTGCAGGCAATTGATCACAATTACTAGGTGTGTATTATTACTTAGAGACATAAATCTAAGGCCCAGAAAAACAGCTTTAAAAGTAGTCACCACAGAGTGGGACAGGGAACAGGAGGGTGAAAAGGGACTACTGCTGTTCCTGAGGAGCTCTGTGACATTTCTCAAATACTAAACCTCAGACATACAAGTTTGATAAAATGGCACTGGAACTGATCAATTAGGTAGAGTTAAGTGTGAATTTTGCATGAAGAGCGCAAGTACTTACTTTCCTTCTTCATCAACCTCTGCAGGAGCATTGCCCAACTTCCGCTGTTCCTCTAACTCCTTCTTCTTTCTCCAGTCCTCTCTAGTCATCTTCTTTGGTTCCTCTAAATTCATTTCTTTGGACCCCGACAGGGGTGCCGTGTTAGCTGTGTCCACGGCTGCTGCCGACATGATGACGGGGCTGCCTCTGAGAGAAGGAAGGAAGTTACAGCAGGCCTGCACGAATTCACCACCGAAACGACCAAAACTTCATCCTAATCACACTGCGGAGTTAGACACAATGTCTCATACATATTTAAAATTTCACAGGACTCTTTCATAAAGATCCCAGAACTGCCTTTTCTGTGTAGTAACTCAAATTTCTCTATCACAGTCACCCTTAGAGCATACATGGTCCCACTCCTTAAAGAGGACTCCATTTGTCCTTCTCTTTAAGGACAAATGTCTTAAGAACTTCCTATAGCGTGATGGCAAGCCTTTTAGAGAACAAGTGTGCAAACTACAACTCAAAAGCCACTTATTTATTGCAAAGGGCTGATGCTCCAATTAAACCTGACTGCTGGCCCCATGCGCATGGTGGTACGTGCCTGTAATCCCAGTACTCAGGGGGTTGCGGCAGGAGGAGTGCCTGGAGCTTGAGGCCAGCCTGGGGCTACAAAGTGAGTTCAAGGCCAGCCACTGCATAGTGAAACCCTGTCTCAAAAAGACAAGAACCCAACAAAAACCAAAAACCAAACAAGCAAAAACAAAAACACCCACCAAAGCCCTCAAGGTGGAGGTTTTAGCTAAGCGAACACAACTCACACCCTTTGCTTGCGTGTCAACCAGGAGGGCGCTCTGTGCACACCGTGGCACGTGTTCCGTGGGTTTGCCACCACTGACCCAGCCGCCTATTTCTCATTCCCACTCCTCACCTGTGTTCATTTCACTTCTCCCCTCAGGTGCTCCCATGAGTTATCCTAAGTCATCAATGATCCATGGGCTAAATATACTGCATGGTTTTTTTTCAGTCCCATTCCTTCCCTTTCTGAGATATTATTTCTTGTCTTCTGTGAAACTATTTTCTATTGGATTTTCTTTTTTAAACCATAGAGATTTAACTTTATTTCATCATTGTCATTTAAAGACTGATATTTTTTGGTGGAACCAGGGATTGAACTCAGGCCATTGTGCTTGCCAGGCAAGCGCTTATTCTACTGAGCCATTTCCCCGGCCCCTGAAGATTGATTTTAAACATTTTGAAAATGTAGGAGTGCTATATTTCAGAAATTAAACAATACAGCCAAGCATGGTGGTGCACACCTATAATCCCAGCACTTGGGAGGCTGAAGCAGGAGGATCGCTGCGAGTTTGAGATCAGCTTGGGCTACAAAGTGTGAGTGTAAGGCCAACCTGAACTGCATAGGGAGACCCTGTCTCAACATGACCCCCCCAATAATGCTACTACCCCTTTTGTGTGAATTACTTCTCTCTGCTCACTCAGCTCCTCAGATTCACTCCAGCTAATTCTCCATGCTGCAGCTTAATCTCCCAAAACACAAATCGGATCACACAACATCCCAGGGCCCAAGCCTATCCCTCCATGCTGAAGCATCCAAGAGAAATGTAATGCCTGCAACATATGCAATCTTGGTTTCTAGCAATCATGTTAAAAAAGAATAAAGAAAGTGAAGTCACTTTTGCACAATTTTACTTAACCCCATACTGCCAACACATTACAATTTCAAATTTAATCAACATGACACGTCAACTCAATCTTAAAACCTAGTATAGGCAGCACAGCTTATAGACTTCTTGGGCCCCTATATTTGAGTCTCAATGGCTACACGTAGCCAGTAACTGTCATACTGGACAGTGCAGCTCCAAAGGGATCCCGTTATTCTTACTCTAAACATGAACATTTTTAAACATACCCAGAAGGTGTGGCATGTACGTGACTTTGGACAGGCACCTGTCTGCCGTCCACCTCACCACCACTATCCCGCCTTCCTTCTCTACCCACTACGTAGGCCTGTTTGACTCTGCGGACCCGGGGCCTTTATAAAGCTCTTTCTCAAGAGAAAGTGGCTAACGGCGAGGAGTCTATGGCGCTGCTCTGCTCCATAAAAATCCTCCTCAGATGTTTTTGTAATATACTGTGAAGCGAAGGCGCCCCACAATACACTTAATAACTTTAATGACTGCCACTGTTTGGGCTTGGTTTTCATCCAGTCTTTTTTTGTTTTAAATTAACAATGATTGTCATATTGCACATTGTTATCTTCAAAGTAGTTGTTGAGATTACCAGATACAAACATGCAAAGTTGATCAAACAATTAGGCATTAACTGTTCCTTTCCACAAACCGATATAAATTAGTTATATATACATTCCCCCCCCCCCATACTGTCAAAGGAAAGCTGCTCCGGCAGTCTTTTGAACAACTACATTCTACAATGCAGAGACAAGTTCCGCGCTCTTAGGACACACGCTAGTAACGAAGATCTCAAACTCAGGTTTCATCCAATGTGGGCTGTTTAAACCATTATGCTATCTAGCATACGACACTCGCCTTTAGCTTGCAACATTAAAAATTAAAACTATGTGTCGCAGTGACAACGCTGTATTCATTAAGACTCCCTCGCTGTGGAGGAGCCTACTCTCTCCAAGTGTAACAGACAACAGCTCCCACTCACTGCGCGCTTCCTGGAAACTACCTAACGCTTTACACAGATGATCTCATTTAATCTCAGACCTGTACTTGTGCAATGTACGATCGTCATCACCTAACGAGAAAATCAAATCGAAGCTCAAAACGATTCTAGAGTGGAAATCAGTCTATTTCGGTAAAGGAATAATGAGGATCCCCAAAACACCGCGACAAAAAGGTCACTACCACTTATCCCTACTTTAAATTCAAAAATCTTTTATGTACTTGTGTATGTATTTGGGACAGGGTCTCACTACGCAGCTCGGGCCCGTAGCGATCCTCCTGTCTCAGCCTCCCCAGCGCTGCCGGTCCCTGCGTTTGCTAGGCAGGAGCGAAGATCGCCGAGCTATCGCCCCAGCCCCTCCACTCTGCAGACGCTAGCGTGGTCTGGACCTACACCAGTGCCCCGCCGGCGTCCTCGGACAACGGCTGCCCTCTCGGCTTTGTCCTCACTCCTTCCTCAGCCAGGAGTTCCTCCCCTCCGGAAGGATATATCTAATAATCAAGAGCTTGGAACTATTTCCTGCGGTTCCCCGGATCCTCCCCTCTCCCCATCAGCAAACTCTCAGAATATTTTCTTACCACTTCAGCCGCCTCCACTCCAAAACCATCCGACGTAGTCAGGCAATCCGCGAATGTTTACTTCCGGGTTTTCCGCTTTCTCCCGGCAGCCACAGCGGTAGCTTCCGGACAGCTAACGCATGCGCATTAAGAAGTAGTTGGCTCGGGCTCTCTGGCGCCCTCAGCGTCGGGAGGTTGGAGTTGCGTCTGTTTCCACATTTTACCCTGTGTAGGGAATATAGGAAGGATTTTTCCCCTTTTTAAAATCGCAGAACGTTAGGATAAAAAAAATTCTCGAAAGTTTAGTACCTAAAACAAGCACCAGCTTAAGTCTCACTAGGAGACTATGAAATGAATGAGGAAGTTTGTGATATATTCAGTAACAAACCGGTTGAGTTAGTAGTAGTAATTAGTACCCAACGCTGGGGGAATGTGTGTAAACAGCGTCTTTTCTCGAATTTACATCGAACAGAATAAGGAAGGCGCTAACATAATTACTGAAAGGATTTACAGTTGTAAAAGTTGCTATGAGGGCAAGAACGAACTATGAGAAGATAGAACATGTTTTGGTACTTCTAAACTTGGATTTATCAATAGAAAAATACTGTAAAGCAGTTTCCATCTTGAAAAACAATAGCAC